CGCCAGTGCGTCGCCGCTCCGCTCTGTGTTAGGCTCTAATATTTAATCCGGCAGAGTCAGCGTTCTTCAACTCATGATTTTGAAATGTTTGCACATCCTGTATGGATTATTCTCGTTTTAATAATTGATGAAAAAAAATATGTATTAAAGGAAAATATAATGTGTGTTTTGTCAATATTAAGGTGGTTCCGTATCAAACTTAATGATTTCCAAAGCACACGAATTTCTACACAATTTCATATAGCCTTTTATGATCGATGGCGAAAAAGCAACAGCCTGGCGATTAAGTATAAAGCCCAGCGATAGGAACTATAACCCGGCTGCATAATTTTTTATCGCTTCATATAGCCCGGCCGTACGATTTTCTCCGCATTCTACAGCCAGCTATATGTATGATTTCCTATCGCCCTCTTCAGTCGGCTATAAGAACTCCGATGGTATTTTGAAACGCAGCTCCTATCGCCAATTTTTACCAGGGCGTAGAAGAGCTCCAGTCGAGGAGAGAGAAAGGAAGAAGAAGAAAAAACAGAGAAGGAGGGAGGAGAAGAAAAGTACAAAGAAGAAGAAGAAGAAGAAGAAGAATACGAAGCGTGTTGTGATACCCGGAAATTCTACAGAAATGTCCTAAATTGATCGACTGACGATCGAATCGTTCTCTAGGAAGATGGCTCCAACTATCAAAATGCGATTCTGTGGTCGACCTCTGAAGTATTCGCCGTGCCGTGGGAATTTTTATCAATGATCCCATTTAAACCTTGCTCGGATCGCCATAAATTCAGCTCTTCGTGAACTATCATAAATTCCGAAGACACTTTTTCGCGGGTAAGCAAGAGGGGCACACGGGACTTAATTGACTGCTTAAATGGCGATAAAATTCAACCGCGCTCCAAGCTGCCGCACAGTGGATTGAGTCAATTAGAGAGGTCGGACATGAAATTTTTGACCGAAACTGCGAATTTCGGTGTTTACTTCCTCACATTTTACATTTCAAGGGGTGCTTTAGTTAGACAATTTTACGAGAAAACCAATGGAACCACTTTTAAAACCTTAAAATTGTGTATGAACGGAGTTAAAGGCGTTTAAAGTTTCCAAATTTTGTCCGACCTATCCTATTGACTCGATCCACTGTGTGCCGGTTTACTTTGAGCTGCACGGGGTGGCACGTCACATTATCTATTGTTGCCATATTTGTCATAAATGCATGATTCTCCATTGCAAACAACGCACCAGATGACACCAAAATTTCAACGTCGAGATTATTTTTTCTGCCCTGCTCATGATCAAATCACGGAGGGTCAAACGCAAGGTACAGAATGAAAATTTGCAATCGGGTTTTTTTAGGTGACAATTCGTTTTTTTGCAGTCAGAGGAATGTACTACGTTGTAAAGTTTCTACTCGCAGATTGTATTTTAACTCGCAATCTGTTGGATATTTAAAAAAAAAAAACATTTCATTAGTTTTTCTCCATGAAAAACTATGGTAATTCCTACTATATTATCTACTTAAGTCTTGATTTTTTGAACAGATGTACAATTTAGTGAAAATAACCAGCATTATAATAGTATTTACTAGAACTCTGCTAATACTGACCATACTATGGTAAATGCTACCATAGGGTCTGGTGCTTATTACCATACTCGGATCACTGTGATCAAAGTATGGTAAAATCTACCATACTTTTTTCAGTGATGGCAAGGCACAAAAATCAGCTAAAGTTTGGACGAGTTTTGGAAGAATTCCGTTGCGGTAATATTTTTGTAAAAATTGAGTCAACTTTGTATATTTGAATTTTGTTGGTTTGTTGTTATTGGGGAAACGACGAATAGATCACATAAGGCAAGGTACGGAAGATAAGCACCAAGATATATATTTTCTTATCGAAATTTTGCGTGGAAAAAATGGACGTTTTTAACATTTCTAAAATAGTATGATTCACATACCTACTTGAATTAATTTGGAGCGCGGTGAATTTTCAATTTCTACTATGATTGCGTGTTTTTCTCACTAAAGTATACCCACGTAAAACAAGTGTTTCAAATGCCAGCACAGAGCGATGTTAAAAATGGTATACGCGCATATCTACCTCTTGAGGTAAAACTATGTCGTTCAAAATCAGTTATGACGGTAGTGCATGTTCATCTCGTTTTACGGTCATTCCCCCCTCCGAATACGTTTTCACCGTCATGTTCCCATTTAGTTGCGTGGCGTGCTTTGCGATATATCGATTGATCTGCCATTTTAAACCTATGAGAAAGGATCGATTTACAGGGTGTTCGCAATGAACACCTTAATGGTCAATTCTTCATCATAGCTTTAAATGAGGAAATATCGAAATTCGATCATTCAAGCCTCGGTACTGTTCCCATTCCATTAAATGTCGTGATGCCTGCTAGGATGATTCATTTTATAATGGTGCCAGTTTTTTAGTGTGACGGGCAAGCAAATGAACTTTATCCTACGAGGAAATTTGCAATTTTCTTTGAAGAGAATTTTAATGGACGTGCCAAATCGGAAAAAATCGAGGATTTTTATAAACTTTTTTAAGTTTTTTTTGGCGAGTTTTAGTAAAACCCGTTCTCTGCTCACTTAACTGCCGTGTTGAGGGAAAACGCCGTTTAAGCCTTCAGACGTCGCCGCATTTTCATTGATAAAAACGGAATTTACGAAGGAAATTCTGAACGTTTTTCTTCCAATTTTTCAGACAATTTTTTTAGTAACTTAATGTATAATATATGGAAATTTCAAGGATAAATATACACAACTTTCTTCAAAAATAAATATTTTGTCGGCGAGGAGAATTAGGAACGTCAATCGGCTCATACATGGAATGACGTACCAGCGGGCTGATCATTGACAATGATAGACAAAGAAGACGTACGGAATGTGGAGCTATCCTATTGGTTGAAATAGGTGGCTCCCATAGACTAAGGGAGAAAACGATAGTCGAACTAAAGGGTTTTTCATGGGTTGCCGTTAGTTAATCTATTGCCTACCTCCTTTGTCCATTGCAACCCCCCCCCCCCCCCCCACCGATAAGATCCCTTCCATATCCCTTTTGTCTACATTGCACCCCCCCCCCCGCTCCCACCAATTTGAAAATTTGGCTTCTTTTCATTGGGTTTCTTTCTTAAAATTCCAGTGCCCGACCAAAATCTACGTTTACTTTGTTGAGTGTGGAATGACTCGCAATCAGTGTGCAATTGTTTATCGAAATTTTCCGAGATGCATCAGACTGCGCCTCTGTTTTTCTCTCTAAAATATCGCAATTCCTAGATCCATCTGCCTGCAGTTCACATATTGTATATGTTCGCAGATCTATGATTTATGTGTTCAGCTTTATCTCTGATCGTTGAGTTTGCGATTTTGAGCTCACTCAGTTTACACGGACTGTTTTCAATCCGACCTATTAAATATATTTGTGGCAGTGGCGTGGCTGGCTTGCTTCGTCATCGCAAATCAATCGAAACATACCACCATAATCGACTTAAACACCGCAAACGAGATAAGCTGTTTGGTAGTTTCACCACGCACATCCGAGATGTAGGTATAGATGAAGCCTTGGAATGTCATTAGCATCATACTTCACCAATTAACATATCGTATATATGAGTATAACGCGCCTTCAGTTTTTGAGTATGCAACACGCACAGTCATAGGGCAGGTATAGTTGTATCTTGGGGTTATCATCAGCATCTTAGCATACTGGTTGATATAATAATTGTGTGAGGGAACCCATCAGATTCTACGTCATGACCAAACAGCTAGTTTGGTACGATCATGTCAACAGGATGACGGAACAAATGAATGAAAATGACATCAAAAGTTATTAAAAACGCATGGATGTCGCCATAAATCATAGGTCCTTCTAATTGTAAGTCTAGTTTGAAGTATTTTAATTCATCCCCAGTTTGTAGGAAACATTTGTACAATTTTTTTTTAGATATTTTGAAGACATATTTCAATCGTCGTTTTATAATATTGGGATAGAGCCCAGCATCAATTTTCCGGAGGTGGAATGCATTTACTACAGTCGAGCTTCATTGAAAAGAAGCCAGGAAAGACTTTTGGGAACAATAAATCGCGTGTTCTATACGAATTAAAGGCAGACAATATTTACGTTTTTGCGAACTGCTGAACTAAGGAAAAACTCCGTATGAACATTCGAGAGTCGCCGAATTTTCCCCAATTAAGTGTTTATACTTCAGAAGTGTTATGAATATTACCTCTTAAAATTTTCAGATAAGTTACATCTAATTGCGAATAAAATTCTCTACAAAATTGGAGAAAAAATGTGCATATTTTGTCCTGAAATTTCATATTTTAACCGATGAAATTTGGCAGCGTCTGGGGGCTCATACAATGTTCTTCCTTGGCACGATAGAGTAGTCGATCGACTCCAATCGCGAACCTTCTCGCTACGACACACAATGGATCGAGTCAATCGAAGAGGTCGGACAAAATTTAGAAACTTTAAACGCTTATAACTCTGTTTATACAAAACTTTGGAATTCTAAAAGTGGTTCCATTGGCTTCCTTGTGAAATTTTCTACCAGTAACGCCCCTTGCTATTTTAAATGTGACGAAATAAACTTCAAAATTTGCAGTTTTAGTCAAAAATTTCATATCCGACCTCTCTAATTGACTCGATCCACTGTGCGACATTTCGACGTTGAAATTACCAAACCACGTATCTCGTTTGCGGTGTTTAAAAATCTACGCTCGCATTTTATTTTTTTGAAGTAGACCAAATCAATATCATTCCTTGAAATTTTCACAGAATTTTCTCCGCACGAAGAGGAAAAATCACAGAAATTTCCAAGACTAGACGTTAAGTAGTTTTTCATTTAAAAAATAAAGTATGACAGGAAGTCTGCGACGTCGCAAACCGAGATACGTGGTTAGGTAGTTTCACCGTCGATTTTTGCCATCGTAAGTACGTGCGATGGCTTCAGAGGGTGAGCAGGGGATTTTCCGGGCGCGAGGGGGTTGGGGGTGGGACGAAGGGATGGGCGGGCAGGGATTGGCCAGAGCGGCAACTGGTGGCTGCGGCAGGGATTGAAATGCCTACAGTCGGCGGTGGAGTCGCCCTGCACATGGCTTGCTTCCTGGCTTTCTTCTCCCGACGAGCAGCCAGCACCCTCGCATCCCTTCGCCTCATCTCGTCTCTCTCCGTACTCCATGGCTCTGATACAAGGTGAGTTACAACCCCTCTCACTCGACCTTCACACTCGTGAATTTGGTCAACCAAAAATATAGTTGACGGGAAATTATCTCGAATATACCATACTTAATGAATTATAACCCTGGTAGAAGGTACTGTAAAAAATCTCTTGCAAAACTTGTAAATTGTAATTAAAAACCTCTCAACAAAACTGTTTAAATTCTCGAAGAAGGAAACGCTATTTGGGATTTTTTTACCCAAAATTTGCAAGTACGAGTCTAAGTCCTAAGTCTTCAAGTACAATAATTGTCGAAAAACTCTTAAATTTTTTTTTTAAAAATGATGCACTGGCTATTTAACACTTTTTTTTGCCTAGATACGTTTTAAAAAATCACCTTTTCTTGGAGAGTTTTTGGACACTTTTTTTATTAAAACTTTGCCTCTCGTAAATTTTACGTAAAAAACAGTCCCAAAAAGGGTTTCTTTTTTCGTAAATTGTACCAGATTTTTAGGAGCTTTTTTTTAAAAAAAAAAATTTACCAGCCGTAGCTAGTTGGAAAGTACCTTACACGGAATAGCAAGCGTTAGGAATTATCCCCTAAAATTGCGGTACTACCCCGATTGGCTGGATGATATGGGCATTTCTAATTCATTTTGCAACATTTGGGATAGTAACCTAATTTATTTGGATACTACCACTATTAGTTGGAAATGTCCATATCGTCCAACATTCCCTGGCTCTTTTTCCCCGTTTTTTCTTTTTAAAATTTCAAGTGACTTCTCTTACCCTAAATAATAAATATGTTTTTGTTTTATACAAGTAATTATTTGTACTCAGCCAATTTGCCATCAATCATGTCTTCTACGTTTATCACAACTAATGGGCAAAAAAACTTCATTTGAATGAAATGAAAATATCTTCAATGCAAAAAGTTTTCCTTAAGTCAAAGAAAGTCTATTGGAGCTGAAAAAATTCTTCTGAACCAATTATCTTTAAAAAACCAAATGAAAAGAGGCTTCAACCAACTTTTTATAGTGTCGATATATTTGAATTTTCGGGTTAGTCCGTCAATTTATCAAAATGTATCTCTCAATGATACAAAATTATGGAGGTTTTGCGCGACTATTCATACCTGCAAGATCAGCAGAATAAAAATCGCTCGTGTAGGTCTGCCACTGCCTGTTGATCAACAAATGAGGTAAAATTCTCGGTTCCTACACCGAAACACTTTGTTGAAAATCGCAGATCGAAGTCCCCAGCCAAGGAAAACTCACGAAATCCTTCAAAAATATTTTTCACATGAGCGATTGAAATTTCATACTACCTTTTTGAGGAAATAATTAAGATGGAGTTAGTGTTATGAGGACCTCTTCTGCGAAACATTTTAATTCGAGTTCGTGTGCCGATGATGAAATCACGCAGGAAAAATCATAACCTTGGTTGGTGACGTTTAACATTTTCTGGTGTATTTCACTATTTTGAAGGACAACCGATTATCGTTGTCGTATGAAATTCCGTATTAATTTTCCATGCTCCAAAAATTTTTGTCACTATTTCAGGCAATGAGAACTTTAAAAAACACAGAATAAGTGGACTTGTTTAAATTCTACAATCGACTTTGGTGTGATCCTATCATTCTACACCATTAATTCCATTTTTCAAGGATTTAAAGGCGTAAGACTGATAGCGTCTAATGTCTTGGAAGTTGGTCAGCTTTTCATAATTTTTATTCTTATTTTTTTAAAATTTTTTTAGCGAGCTCTGATTCTTCTATTTTGAACGAACGCCTCTCATAAATATTTCCATATTGATTTTACTTTTAAAAATTTCAATGTTAAACTCTAAAAATTCTCACGCGAACTCCGTTTTTTTATTCAAGCTTCTGCGGTTAATGATATGCAACAAGAAAATAATAATTTACTTCAGACCTCTTTCAAAAATGCATGGTTATCTTCTAGAAGACGACGCAAATATCATCACTGGTATAAAACCCCCGGTCAAGTTATGCTATTTCTGCATCAAAGCATAATATATTATGCTTGCCATGAGTGCCAATTATTAATGTGAATATTTCCTGGGAATAATTTCAATTTTTTCCTCTGAAAGAAAATGTAGGATTAACTTCCCAAACGATCTATAAAAGTGCGGAAGCTGAAAGCAATGTAAGCTCTAATGTGCTGCAGTTACATCGGTCATCGAACGCACAAACCGCGCGCTCAGTACGAGATTAAAACTGTCATTACCGCGGTTAACCTATACTGTTCCATATCGTGAACTGATATTAATTTACTGCGAGATCGTTGGAGATAAAACCTCATGAAATTGATTATAAGTTTTGCCGACTGTAATAGCAATTCCCTTCGAAAATTCGTCGCTCCTCTGATGTAAGGGCGTAAATCGATTTCCGCATGAGCCCCAGAAAACATAGATTTATAGGTAAAACAGAGCTCACATGGAAATTGAGATACGCCCTTACGTCAAGGGACAACAAATTAGACAGCTTATCTCCGAGGGTACCGCATGATCGGAGTTTTATGCGTTTCTTTGAAGTTTCAATTTAAAGGTCCGAATGGACGGCGAAGAAAGAAATTAAATACCGCCACAAATAGCACAATTAATGACGCTTAAAAAATGTCTCTTTAAACAATAAAATATTTGTCAGATGTTTCTACAAAGTGGAGAAAACTAAAATATTCCAAAAAAAAAAGAAAAAAAAAGAATACTAGAAAGCTTAAAAAGACAGGTTAAAATATCGTCATTAATCTCACGAAAAAATGTACCTTTCAATGACTTTCCAGTATTGTCAAACTTCCCCGCAAAAAATGGCAGGAATTTCGCATTTTAATCAGGAGGATTTTAGAAATTCTTAACTGCAGATTTCACTGATTTTTATTTGTGAAATATAGGCTCATTTTAAACTATAAACGCTAATTTTCCACTCATTATTGATAAAGGAAATCCTGAACATGTTGGACGTGTTTCCGTGATTTATTGATGCGATATCAAAACTCGCAATATTTTGATCTTTACAGTGTTTAGTGGTACATTATCTCGACATGTTTTATGCTCGAAGAAGGATTTATGATTTTTTCATCCTTTTATGAGATTTCATTCTTTAAACGGACGTATTTATGCTAAAAGGAACTATGTCGCACGAAAACTCTATGCACATAGTTCCTTTTAGCATAAATACTTCCAAATGTGAATCCGTGTCGCGAATTAAATAGTCTGCTCACTAAATCGGCGGCCCTATCAAAAAATTAGTAAAACTATATTTGCGATCTCAGTCAACCAACCAGTATTAAAACTTCATTGCGAAATGTAGATATTTTAAAGTTTTTAATTGCTTTTGACCTCCTGCGATTCAGGATTGAAAAAGAAAGGTACTCGGTTACATTTCTGTGCAGAGTTTTGCGTCAAATCTCCGATACAGCTTAACAAAAAACGAAATGGAAAAGAGGATAGCTTTCCAGGAGCTTTGACGTTCCCTCATCTCTAGCTGAAAAACGCGCATGCGTTAAATTTTTTTTACCCAGGGGCCGGGTAAATTGTCACCTGACCTTGCTGGATAACGTTGGCTACGGAGGAAAAGCGCAGCTTGCTTTGCGCTCATGAAAAATTACTCCAACTGTTTTTTCAACTGTGTTACTGAATAGCAAAATGAGCAAAAACCGTCAGCCTCAACACGTTCCATCCGTAGTTTTCTCAGAAAACTCGATTTTTTTTTGGTGTTTTTTTGAGCCGCTCTTGATATTTAAATACTGAAACTCGCCCGACAAAAAATACCGATGCGATGCGGTCGCCAAGTGTCTATGACGACGAATTATGACTTATGACTAGTTCTAGGAACATAAAAATGTGCACAGTGATATTTCACTACATTTTAACCTAGGATGGAAGATTGCTTCTATCCTGGGTTAGAAATACTCCGGAATATTTGTAAATATCGCAGCTTCCAATTTGCCGCCCATCCTCTAATTCTATATACTTTGCTGATTCCCGCCAACGGTCAACTTCTCGGTTTTGCAGACATCAACCTCGAAGCCCCCACCAACTTTTGAGTCTTGTACTTCGGTTTTCGTCAACATTTAATTTAATTTTCGTCAAAAAAAACCTAACCAAACCTGCGGGCTGATTATTGAAATCAGTAGACAAAGCGATAGACAAAGAAGGCATAGGGAGTATGGAGCGATCACATTGGTAGAAATTGGTGGTTCTCACAGACTAAGGGGGGAAATGATGGACTAACTAAAGGGTCTCTCGTCGGTTGCCGTTAGTTAGTCTATTACCTACCTCTGCTGTCCATTGCAACCACCTACTTCCACCAATAGGATCCCTTTAATTTCAGCGTGTCATCTTTGTCTATAGCTTTGTCTGATAATTTCAATAATCGACCCGCTGTCTCGAAAAAAGTCAGATTTGAAATGGTATAGGAGGGGGGGGGGGGGGTGCTAGTGTCCCCTTACTTTCGCCAAACGATGCTCCTGGAACTGTTCAAGACGCGACCGCGAATACGAATCTTGGTAACTTAAATCCCATAAAAATGTATCCATTTTTCTGGACGCAGAAAATCGGACCGAAAAGGTCACGATTGTCACAGCGGAAAAGTTAATGCGTAGCTTTTAGCGTTTCAGTTCTCCCCCTCCCCCTTTTTTCGATCGAATCGGCTCGACTTTGCGTGCATTCTTGGATTCGCAGAGAGTGAAAGCGATCGGTGTGAACTGTCATTTCCCTGCGCGATAACTCACCGAGGTTTCCGACTGAAAATAAGAGAACTTTGCGCTTAATTACTCATGTTCGACGCACACGGGGCCGAGTCAATAAGAGAAGTCGGACAATATCTGGAAATTCTGAAATCTTATATTTTTGAAACTGTGAAACAAAGAAGTTTAAGAATGGCTCCATTGGTTTTTTCGTGAAATTTACCTTGAGAAACACCCTTTGAAATTGAATTTGTGACGAAATAAACATCCAAATTTAAAATTTTAGCCAAGAATTTCATGTCCGACCTTTTCCGTTAGCTCGATCCACT